AACTAATACATATAAGTGAACCGGCTGCGAAAGAGTCCACGTGGACTGTGGAACTGGCGGTTCTTATTGGAAATTTTTCACTAACCGAGTTTTATGATTGGCTGAAGAGTCATAAAATTAAATTTCAAGATATGTTACGGTGACGGATAGAAATCGGAAAAGCGGAGATATATAATCATCTCCGTTGATTTCAGTTCAGGAACTGAGCGCGATTTGAGTGTTGAAATTTGATATTGGTGCAATTATAATTACTTAAAATGTTTGTTATCTGTTCAAAATTGTAACGATATATTCCTTACTGTCATTTCATTGTATTCATGACACAATAAAATGTGACATCTATGAATTCCATATAACCGGTATTGGCAAGTATTCCTCCTAGCATAAGCCATCTTTGGTTCACTAGTAACGTGAAGATATGTAATGAGAGAAGATGAAGGAGGAATATTGGAAAGAAAGAAAGGAGTCTCTCGTAGAGTTGAGAATGTAGAGCTCGATATCTGCGTTCTTTTTTTTTATGTGAACGTAATGATGCTGATTGTGAAAAATCTTAATATTTCACGGTGATCACTGAATTTAAGCCCAAGTTATCTATTTTTCATTCGTTGATGAATTGGGGTTTCGTTAGATGCAAGAATTAAAGCCATGAGAATTTCTGCTGCTGATGAGAATTTCTGTCCCTCGTTAAAGGTGTGAAAGATCCCTGAAATTAGTGTCAGAGATTACTGGCGATTTTGACGAGGAGTCCTGGGATTTCTATCTGATTGCTGATCACAGTGGTTGAAAAAAAAAAAAAACTGTAAGTCATAATCCAAATTTTTGCTTCATCGTTCGGGAAGCTCCACTCTGCCGCTGAATTCAGATTCAAGCAAGGTACCTCTCTCTAGGTTGAACAAATCTCCGGTTCATAGAATTTGTTTGACAGCTATCGAGATATAACCAATCTTTCCTCTTTATCTATATCTTTGTAGATTGGTTATAGACATTAAATGAATCAAGGTTATAATCCCATTTTCTAATTTAAATGATTCAGTGAATTTTTTAGTGGTCATTTTTTGGTACAAAAATTGTTTTGTTTCCTAAGACATATTCAGTGGTGTTTTCAAGGTTAGTTTTTTTTTGTTTACGATTATTTTATTCCTCATACATGTTGACTCCTGGTTTCAAGGTTATTTTTTTATATAAACCATTGATGCATCAATACAAGAGTAGTATAAATAATTAAGAGTAACTGTTGTGAATATTATTCAATGTATCTATGAATGAGTATTTATGTGAAACCATTTTACATTTACATCACCTGTTATCATAATTGTATTCAGTAAAGTGCAAAACATTTATATCCCTAGAATCCTGTTTCATAACCATTCTCATGTGACCAACTCTGCCTATCAAGGAAGTGTTCAGTCCCACACTGATCAACTGAAATCAACTAGGGAACAACAACCTTTAACAACATCTCTGCTAGGAGACATGATGGAGTAAACATGTGAAACCATCATACTATAGTCTATTTCAAAAGAGTGTAGAGTAATAAATCATGAAGTGTCATAAAATTTGCCTGAATTTCGTTGTCGTCCATGGGCGTAGGCAAATCTTAGGATTATTAAACTTAATAATTAAAGTAAATTAAAAATTACAGACATAGATAATAATAAAAGGCCATTTTTGGGAAGTAATTTGGTCTAAAACTAAGTACCTACATGTATTTAGGTAAGTAAAATTTCTTAAAAAAAGATTAAGATTAATTTTAGTGGTTCTTGTAAACTTATTTAATATGCAATTTGGGTTCATATACTTGAGCATGATTTCTCAAAAAAGGGTTAACACTTAGTTCCGAGGTGCCATGTCATTATAATAATCCCTTTTTGACCCTGCCCACCAATCATGCAATACCTATTAAACNTATTTCCCGATTTCGGTTCGTATATATTTTATTGTTACATTTTATATTTTTTTAATAACACTGTTCTGCTGTATTAAATTTTTATTTCCTTTAATATAATTTTTATGAATGCATATTCTTTTGGCAATTATCCCACTAGCGCGCCTCTGGCTCAGTATTTATCCGTCGATAACAATGGACAAATCCCTTAAAACAGGGTGATACCTACCTGCTCTTTATGAAACGACATAATTTTGCAATGCGGACTAGGGAAGTGACAGAATTTATTGACGGATCACCCTGTAGCGCTTTTGAATACTTAATGAGATTTTATTACTCTACACTCTTTTGAAATAGACTATAACAGGGTCAATCTTTGTATTTTTTTTGTAGATATATGTATTAATTTTTATGAATATATGATGTTCTTGCTCACCTGATCACAGAAGGAAGTTCTCCTTTCTATCTTCATAATGGTATTTGGTAATTTTCTCCAACATAAAATAAAAAAAAATCTGGCGCCCAGCCATAAAAATATTTATTATTCATATTTTTACTTGCTTGACACATTAAAAATCAGAAACTAGCAAAGTTGTCCAAAGAACTCACACCGTTCTCTACTGTAGCCCTGATTACGTTACAAAATGTGGCGTCCTTGAATAAGTATTAATAGTAATAACGAGTGTGATAACAACGCAGACTTTTTCCAGTGGTGTGATTCCAATAGCGATGGCGAACAATGCGAAAGAGAGATAGCAGTGAATAAGATTCAGATGCATTTGAATATTGAAACACAGATAGTATGAATATGGATTTTCATCAAGTATCAGCCAGTTCTATTCAATTAAACGTAAAGCAGTTATGGAAAGCAGAAAAATAGTGGAATTGCTCAACAAATACCTAGAATAAATAACTAAATATAGACAAGAACAACGGCAAATTTTCTATTTGGACGAAACTTGGTGTAATACTCACGACACATTTACGAAAGGGTGGACTGATGGTTCGAGCATGTGTACGCCTTACATGTCTACAAACAAAGCATCGCGACTAATTATTGTGCATTGCGGAGGAATTCTCTGAAAAACTTGAGGACAGGAATGTTGACTATCATAAGAACATGAAAGCTAATATTTTCGAGGAATGGTTTGAAAACACATTGATCCCAAATTTGAATGCGAATAGTGTAAAAGTTCTTGACAACGCTTCCTATCCTTCGCGACAGCTCATCAAAGTACTGAATAAACATTCGAGGAAAGATGAAATACAAAGTTTTTTAATGAATAGCAATTTGTATTTTGAAGATTACTATACCAAAAACCAACTACTTACAGTTTTACAGACAAAAATATTTGAAAGAATGTATGCCCTTGAGAGTATTGCTGAAAGGTATGAACACACCATACTGAGATTTCCCCCCTTCCTTTTTTGTTTTCAACTACATTGAGATTTGGGGAAAATTGAAACGAAGCATCAGGCGTAAAAATAATTTTCCAGAATTTGATAAGAAGGTGATGAACCTAATTAAAGAAGAAGCATCTAATATTACCGAAGAAGGCTAGCAGTAGGAATGAAATAGTAATTGTAGTTGAAAAAGGCTATATGGAGATTGGACACTTCCATATTAATTTCATAAACTACAATTTGATCTCCACAAGTTTATGGAGATCTCTACATCAAGTATCGGCCGAATCAACCAGAAAATTCCATATTGATGGGGGAAATAAATTCAGTATTGATTTGAATGACGACAGCGATAGTTAAACAGAGAATATGAAAGAGGAATTATCAGACGCTTTCGAAGCAAGTTAATGAAGTGTTTTAAATACCTACTTTCCCACCCAGCTATATAAACGGAATATTCATTTAATTAGTTAGCTCTCTAACTAACTTATTATTGGGGAACTGTTGGAAAGTATGTTGCACTATATCGTTTACTTGAATTATGCCCTTATTTATTTCCAGCAATTCCAGCTGGTTCAACTTCTATCTCATACCATCTACATGGAGTATGTCGTAGTTATTGTTGAACTCGTGACCGTTCTCTGACACGCTTCTCTGACACGCTTAGCTGGAATTGATCTTCTTTGGTTCAAAACTTGTTTCATGCTCTGAAAGTCTCGTTCTGAAATTTCTTGAAGTCCTTCCTACATCCACTTTAGGGCATAATCCGCATGTTAGTTTGTAGACACCTGATCTGTTATCTTTGTCTAGGAGTGACTTGTTGTTCTTTACATGTCTTCCCAAGGAATTAGCAGTCTTATATGCTATTCAGTAGACTTTATCTGTGGTTTTTTCGGTATATGTGGGTATCTTGAGAGCCCCCAGTATTATATTTTATGTTTGTAGCTTATTTGAAACGTTTTTCATTAAGGATGTGATGAGTTACTTACAACCTGTTTGTTACATTCTCACCTTCAACTATTTCAACTCAGGTTACATCAGCATTCACATTCACTTCCTAACAATGTCATCAACACCAAGTCAAATGTCACTAAAATAAAGAAAAAGCACGTTACGAGCACAGCGTTTCTCGGACTTCTGATTTTATTTTCGACACAGAAATAGGACCGACTTTCGGACGGAAATAACATGAGCTTGTCTCGCAAGTCTGATTCAACACAAACTCGTCATAAGCGGCAAATCTATAATTCAGATGATCAAACACATTCGAAGCTCCCACTAGAACGTTGAAAATCGTTTCTGATGCGAATTACAGAAACATACTTCAGTACTGAAGTTCACATTCTCATACATTTTAGGAATTTTATCGAAGATAAGATATCGCACAAAACCAGATTCATAATATTTTCGATCTGAGATGGAACATACCAGGTTTGTTGATAAATATAGTTTCAAAAAAATAGAAAACACGCTTTTGAAGAACATTGAAACAAAAAGTTAAAAATATTTTTTTTAAATAAGCTTAAAACAATAACGAACGCAAAGCGCCCGTCGCTTTTATCAGAATAATAGTAGTATTTTTCGTTCGTTTTTGTTTTAAGTTTAAAAAATTTTTTTTAACTTTTCAGGACGATGTTCTTTAAAAGCGTATTTTTTAGTATTTTAAAACTATATTTATTTTTCACTTTTTAGTCCGATTTATTTGTTACGGTTACAAAATTCGTAACTCCAAATATTTCTGGTTATAATCTCGAAATGCTATTTATTGTCTCTAGCATAACAGGACACACCAATCCTTTGTATTGGTCTAGTATGTGATTTCAACAAAGTCATTTTTGGAACGGTATTCGCGAAACGATACCATCTAGAAGTGTTGTTTGTAGAACGTACCTTTAATTGCAATATTATCAGCTGGCAGAACTGCGCTGTAGTCTCGAAATTAAGGTCCGGACTAACTCTTGTTGGAGTGATTTGTTATTTCATATGTGATGAAATACATATTCAATTAGTTGTTTCTTGATAGGAAATTGGTCGTACGAAGAGGTTGTTTAGTATTCCTAGTAAATAGGAATCGAATCATAGGCTAAATGGCATGATTTGGAATTGTTTTAGAAAACAGGTTTTGTGATTGGTCGCTGATTACATTCCTGTAAAGTGTAAATATATTTATTTTTAGTCTTGTTGTTTTGGTAGGCACTGACGGAAAAACGTCAGGGTAAAGGATCACTTCCGGAAGGTGGAATTTGGAGGTTGCGGGTAGATTTCTTTGGGGAAGATATAGGTCGCCGGTGGAAAAAAGTTTAACTGGTCCAACGTTAGGGTAATATCACTAGAGAGTGTCAGTGTCCGTTAGTAGATGCGGGATTTCACCCCTCGTGGAAATAATCCGTTCATTGTGTCTGGAAGTAGTCAATGGAAGCAGGATTGAGGAAGCTTGTTTGCATGCCTGATTCCGGTAACTAGTTCACGTGGCCATCTTCTACATAGAAAAAAAAATCTCGACTCTGTCGAGGTAAGTAAATTCGGTTTTATGAATTTCACAATCATGAGAGTTTTCTCTTTTGTTTCACAGATTTTTGTTCTGGTTGTAAGAATCAACCTATTAATCAAAAGTAGATTTGAGGTTCATCTAAGGGCTGTCCCCTTGAGTAGGTTAGTCAATCTTGAGATGCGGAATTCTTTCATCAACCGTATTCTCCACTGTTTGCTGGTACTGGTATTCGTCTAGAAAAAGATTGTATTACTCACTCTGGAAAAACAGCAGAAGGCTGAAGTGAAGTCAGAGCAATGGCATGGTATCATCAGAATGCTAGGCTAAGTATTCATTGTCAAGGTAACCTCTTCGCAGTGTTGAATATGACTATTTGGAGTTTATTATGAGCGTAATTCACAATCAAAGTGTTGATATGAAGAAAGGGTTATAATATTAGTTTTTCCCAAGAGTAACTGTACGCTTTCAGCAATTGCTTTAAGTCCCTACTCAGTATAGTTTAGACATTCATTTACATTTACGTAGATACCGAATAAGTATCTCAAAATTCAGACAAAAAGATTGATAATCTAGTCAAGTTTAATGTATATATGTATAGACACACAAATAGTGTAGTTTTCAAGTTTCAACCTATTTTTCAGAGATAAGTTCTGGGGTTATGTTTTGTGTACAGTATTAAAACGTTTAATTTCATTTTTTTTATGGTAACGAGCCATCAAATTCTGACAGAGGTAGCAAATAGATTCCTGATCACCTGAGTCGCTTTGTTTTTGTTTTCCCTGTTTGATCTTTTTGCAGCACATACAATAGATCTTTGTTTTTCTAGCTAATAAGGTAATTTCCCTATTTATTTGGGTTTTGGGGGATACTTATTTCTTCCTCCCATATAGCCATCCCTAACCGGGGGAGGTAGGACACTCTGACATCTCCATACATGATAGAAAGATTTGCTGAATTGATATTTCGATACAGGTATGTACGTTCCTTGGGGAAGATTGAGTTAGCCGGAGAGTTTTCTACACTAACAGGTTTGACAACACCCGCAGGGACGTAGCATATTGTCAAAAATATTTTTTTTAAGTTCTCGTCACTAGTATTATAAATCTTTAAGAGACGGTGGACGAATGTAAAATTCCTCTCAAACAACATAATAAAGTTTGAGGTCTCAAATTCTATAGTAATACTGAGATGCAGTAAGTCTCCAACAGAGGGCGGACAGTTGTAAAATTTGTTTCGAAGTAAAGAGAAAATTTGCAGTAATAATTTCAAAAAACAATTCAGTCTTGATGTTTTGATTTGAAGTTTCATTCAAAATATTAATGGACTAAAAATATTTTTTCAGTGAATAATTTTATTTTTCAAATAAATTTTATAATTTGATATGTATGTCAAGCACCTAATTTTTCGATTATTTGAAATATTTGAGTAACTGAATTTCTTAGGTGTACAATTTACGATAAAATTTTCATTGTTGAAATCCATATTCTGGTTTGCTTTGAAATAATCGATTCTAAAGTCATAAGAATTGCGATCGAAAATATTCACAAATACTCACCTTCATCAAATTCTTCTTCATCATCATAATCGTCAATAACTAGAGGACTATTTGCCCTCATAACTACATCGTCCGTTAAGGTGAATGGCACCGCGGGTGTAGGAGCTGGAACAGGATGACGTCCTTCTGGACCTGGAGAGAATTTTCAAAGTCTTCTAGGGGTTTTGTATTTTTTATCTTTCTGGTTCTTATGTGGAAGCTATTTTTCGTTTCTTTTTGGCTGTCGTCTGGAGGTTTTTATGCACGACGTTTCATCTACTACTGCGCTAGACGGTATCAAAGGCGATGTCATAACGATTGCAATGTCCAAATTGGCGCTTTTGCTAGTACGAATGCTAGTATTTGACCCGTGGAACATTTCTATTGTGGATTGGTATGGAACCCCGTGGACCAATCGAAGCCTTTTGCTATGAAAGAGGTTACCCATTGATCAAGGAATATAAAACAACTTCCCCAGCAAAGCTAGATACCCCCGCTAGTATTTCTATGATATCTACCTTTGTTATGGCATATACTGCCTATAGTCTGGTTCACATGTACTCGATTTAGCTCTTTTTGGTGACATTTTTCAGCCCTGTCCAAAAAATACGACCAAGGTATCATTCGAATCGTATTTTTGCCTAGAAAGTTCAAGGAGAGGTCCGAAAACGCGCCGATAAAAATTATAAAAGTTATGAACAATTAAGTGAAAAAAAAAATGGAGCTTTAGTTTTTTCTTAATATCTCGGAAAATTTTCAAAATTTTGGAAATTTGAAAAAAGATTTGAAAAGACCAATGAATTTGCGTAAAAAAAGTCCCGACTCCCGAAACTGTATCTCGATTATTTATA